GCACTTAAGAAACAAAGAAAATGACACTGAACCACACATATACAATCAGCATTCCAGGACTTACACATTATCTTTGAAAGTGAACCATAAAATGCTCTTAAACCAAGAGACTGGGAAAACAGGATTTTTAAGACAACGGTTTGAGGCTGGCCTCTGCGGCTTACTGGTGGCATGCAAATCGTGCCACCTGTGCTACAGCTCTCTGGTGTGTGAAGTAAGACTACTAGGAGTCAGCCTCCCCCATCCTACTTGGTCACAGGCAGAACGTCCGCGATGCTGCACGTGAACTCTGGTGCCATCGGGTGAAATCAGAAGTCTTAAGCTTTTCAGCATCTTCTGACCTCAACAGGCACCATTGTGTCAGTATTCAATATGCTAAAACCCCAAATCCTACTACCACGATGTCGATTGCGACCCATAGTGACCCTACATAGGGATTCCAAGGCTCTAATTCTTTATGGGAACAGATACTCATCACTCCTCCTTGGAGACATTAGTGGGTTTGAACTGTCGACCTTGCGGTACACTGCTTAGGCGACAGGGCCACAGGGCTCCTCCCACTCAAGACTGCTTGGTTATAGCCCGTGGTTGTTAACTTGGTCAGACTCACACCAAGTCCAACATAGGAGCACAGAAAACAACACACACAAAGCTGATGAATCCTGGCTCTCTAGGAAGCTTCACCCAGCTGAGAGGTCTGGACCGTGAGACTGACAAATGCTTTGGTTCGGTGCCGTCAAGTTGATTCTGACTCAGGCCAGAACACGGACGTGCCACCGTGGGGGGGATTCCAACACGCAGTGACTGTGCAGCGGGAGCAGACTGCCCTGTCGGGTTCCCTAGGTGACCACCTGGTGATGGAAGACGGCTTGTTGATGGAGCGCAGCTCTCCCCCGCCGAGCTGGAATAAATATTTAACTAACAGCTACCGAAGAACCAGCAGTTCATCCATAATTTAAAACTAATCGCAGATTGGTTTCCTCAACACCATCTCAATGTTAAATCAAGAATTATGCCAGGCCATTTTATTTCAAAGTGTATGTCCCTTGACATGGTTAAGGCATGGCACAATTCCATCCCAATATCTTCCTGTCAACATCAGGAGGGAGGGAGTCTACATCACACACTCATTTCTCGAATAGCAAAAGGCTTGTCTGTTATTCTCTAATTTTCACAAGTGCTAAAGATTCCACTTGAAATGGCATTGAAGGCCTTCAGAATTGAGCTTAAAGAGGTCTACTAAATCCACGTAGCACTAACTGTACTAACA